ATGCTCTCAACGCTTCTAACACAAATTGTGAACCCCTTAGCCTATATTGTCCCCGTCTTATTGGCTGTCGCATTCCTAACCCTGCTTGAACGGAAAGTCCTTGGTTATATGCAACTACGGAAAGGCCCCAATATTGTAGGGCCTTACGGCCTCCTCCAGCCAATTGCAGACGGCCTAAAATTATTTACCAAAGAACCCATTCGACCCTCCACTTCCTCCCCCCTATTGTTTTTGCTCGCCCCTATCTTAGCACTTACTTTAGCCCTTGCACTATGAGCCCCCCTGCCCCTTCCCCACCCAGTTGTAGACCTCAACCTCGGCGTACTATTCGTCCTGGCCCTCTCCAGCCTAGCAGTTTATTCTATCCTCGGATCAGGATGGGCCTCTAACTCGAAGTACGCCCTTGTCGGCGCCCTCCGTGCAGTCGCCCAGACCATTTCTTATGAGGTTAGCCTTGGCTTAATCCTGTTAAGTGTAATCATCTTTGCCGGGGGCTTCACACTACAAACCTTCAACATTGCTCAAGAGAGCATCTGACTAGTGTTGCCTGCTTGACCCCTAGCTGCAATATGATACATCTCTACTCTTGCAGAAACAAACCGTGCCCCCTTTGACCTCACCGAGGGAGAGTCTGAGCTAGTCTCAGGTTTCAACGTAGAGTATGCAGGCGGCCCTTTCGCCCTATTTTTTCTAGCAGAATACTCTAATATTTTACTTATAAATACACTCTCAACAATTCTATTCCTAGGGGCCTCCCACATTCCCTCCTTTCCTGAGCTAACTACCACTAACCTAATAGTAAAGGCCGCTCTTCTCTCCGTTGTGTTTCTCTGGGTCCGAGCATCTTACCCCCGCTTCCGATATGACCAGCTTATACACCTAATTTGAAAAAATTTTCTCCCCCTAACCCTAGCACTAGTTATTTGACACCTGGCCCTCCCAATCGCATTTACTGGGCTCCCCCCTCAATTTTAACCCAGGAGTTGTGCCTGAAACAAAGGGTCACTTTGATAGAGTGAATCATGGGGGATAGAACCCCCCCGACTCCTTAGAAAGTGGGGACTTGAACCCGACCTGAAGAGATCAAAACTCTTTGTGCTTCCATCTACACTACAATCTAGTAAAATCAGCTAAACAAGCTTTTGGGCCCATACCCCAAAGATGTAGGTTAAAGTCCTTCTTTTACTAATGAGCCCCTACGTCTTAGCCCTTCTATTATTTAGCCTCGGCCTAGGAACTACAATAACCTTCGCAAGTTCCCACTGGCTACTCGCCTGGGTCGGCCTCGAAATCAATACCCTTGCAATTCTTCCACTAATAGCACAAAATCACCACCCCCGGGCAGTTGAAGCGGCCACCAAATATTTCCTTATTCAAGCTGGGGGCGCCGCCGTACTACTTTTTGCCGGCACAACAAATGCCTACCTCACCGGCCAATGAGACATTCAACAGGCCGCCCACCCTCTCCCAATCGCTATTATCACCCTTGCCCTAGCCCTTAAGCTTGGGCTTGCCCCTCTTCATTCCTGGATGCCAGAGGTATTTCAAGGCTTAAGCCTTACTACAGGCCTGGTCTTGGCCACCTGACAAAAGTTAGCCCCCCTCACCCTCCTCCTTCAAATTCAACCTGTCAACTCTCCCCTTCTCATTTTTTTAGGCTTAGCATCGACCCTTATTGGGGGCTGAGGAGGACTCAACCAAACCCAACTACGCAAAATCCTAGCTTACTCTTCCACCGCCCAACTAGGCTGAATAGTGCTAGTCCTACAATTTGCCCCTTCTTTAACTACCCTTGCTATTTTAGTGTACATCGCCGCTGCAACTGCAACATTCCTTACTTTAAAACTAGCCAAGGCCACGAGCATTAATATACTAGCCATCTCCTGAGCAAAAGCACCTGCACTTGTAGCTCTCACCCCCCTTGTGCTCCTATCTCTTGCAGGTCTCCCTCCAATGACAGGGTTTATACCCAAATGACTTATCCTCCAAGAGCTCTCTAAACAAGAGCTAGCTCCCACCGCCACCCTTGCGGCGCTCACCGCACTCCTTAGTTTGTACTATTATCTCCGACTTACATACGCTATAACCCTCACTATATTTCCTAATAATCTAGCCGGCACACTTCCTTGACGACTACCATCCCATCAGCTAACACTCCCCCTAGCTTGCCTAGCTATTGCCACTATTTCTCTACTACCCCTCACCCCCGCTGCACTAGCCCTAGTAGCCCTTTAAGGGACTTAGGTTAGCACAAGACCAAGAGCCTTCAAAGCTCTCAGCGGGGGTGAAAATCTCCCAGTCCCTGATAAGACTTGCGGGGCACTATCCCACAGCTCCTGTATGCAAAACAGATACTTTAATTAAGCTAAAGCCTTTCTAGACAGGTAGGCTTCGATCCTACAAACTTTTAGTTAACAGCTAAACGCCCAAACCAGTGAGCATCCGTCTACCTTTCCCCCGCCTGTTGGGCGGGAAGGCGGGGGAAACCCCGGTAGACGTTAGTCTGCTACTTCAGATTTGCAATCTAACATGTGGAAACACTTCAAGGCTTGATAGGGAGAGGACTTAAACCTCTGTTCGTGGGGTTACAATCCACCGCTTAAAACTCAGCCACCCTATCTGTGGCCATCACACGTTGATTTTTCTCTACCAACCATAAAGACATCGGCACCCTCTACTTAGTCTTCGGCGCTTGAGCCGGGATAGTCGGAACTGCCCTTAGCCTGCTCATTCGGGCAGAACTTAGCCAACCTGGCTCCCTATTGGGAGACGACCAAATTTATAATGTAATTGTTACCGCTCATGCCTTTGTAATAATTTTCTTTATAGTTATACCCATTATAATTGGAGGCTTTGGAAACTGGCTTATTCCCCTTATGATCGGAGCCCCCGATATGGCTTTTCCTCGAATAAATAATATGAGCTTCTGACTCCTCCCTCCCTCCTTCCTCCTCTTACTAGCTTCTTCAGGTGTAGAAGCCGGGGCAGGTACCGGGTGAACCGTCTACCCTCCTCTTTCTGGAAACCTAGCCCATGCAGGTGCCTCTGTAGATTTAACTATTTTTTCTCTCCATTTAGCCGGTATTTCCTCTATCTTAGGGGCAATTAATTTTATTACAACAATTATCAACATAAAACCTCCCGCCATTTCTCAATACCAAACCCCTCTCTTCGTATGGGCCGTTTTAATTACTGCCGTTCTTCTACTTCTTTCACTCCCTGTACTAGCTGCCGGTATCACCATGCTCCTCACCGACCGAAACCTAAACACCACCTTCTTTGACCCTGCAGGGGGAGGAGATCCCATCCTTTACCAACACCTCTTCTGATTCTTTGGCCACCCCGAGGTTTACATTCTTATTCTCCCAGGATTTGGTATAATCTCCCACATCGTAGCCTACTACGCCGGCAAACAAGAGCCCTTCGGTTATATAGGAATAGTCTGAGCTATAATAGCCATTGGACTCCTTGGGTTCATTGTTTGAGCTCACCACATGTTTACAGTCGGAATAGACGTAGACACACGTGCTTATTTTACATCCGCCACAATAATTATTGCCATCCCTACTGGTGTAAAAGTCTTTAGCTGACTAGCAACCCTTCATGGCGGAACAATCAAATGAGAAGCCCCCCTTCTTTGAGCCCTGGGGTTTATTTTTCTATTCACAGTTGGAGGCCTAACAGGCATCGTCCTTGCCAATTCGTCCCTAGACATTGTCCTTCATGACACTTACTACGTCGTAGCACATTTCCATTATGTACTTTCAATGGGAGCCGTCTTCGCCATTGTTGCCGCTTTCGTACACTGGTTCCCGCTATTCACAGGATACACCATGCACTCCGTCTGAACAAAAATTCACTTCACAGTCATGTTTATTGGGGTAAACCTGACCTTCTTCCCCCAACATTTCCTCGGATTAGCCGGGATACCTCGGCGGTACTCAGACTACCCAGATGCATATACCTTGTGGAACACAGTGTCTTCCATTGGGTCCCTAGTTTCTCTAGTCGCCGTCATTATATTCCTATTTATTATTTGAGAAGCATTCGCCGCTAAACGTGAAGTATCCTCCGTAGAGCTTACTACAACTAATGTAGAATGACTTCACGGTTGTCCCCCACCATACCACACATTTGAAGAGCCTGCATTTGTACAAATTCATTATAACTAACGAGGAAGGGAGGAGTTGAACCCCCATAAATTGGTTTCAAGCCAACCACATGACCGTTCTGTCACTTTCTTAAAGACACTAGTAAAATTTAATTACATGGCCTTGTCAGGGCCAGGTTGTGAGCTAACTCCTCACGTGTTTTATCATGGCCTTTCCCTCCCAACTCGGATTCCAAGATGCTGCCTCTCCTGTGATAGAAGAACTTCTTCACTTTCATGACCACGCTATAATAATTGTCTTTATAATCAGCACACTAGTCCTTTATTTTATCGTCGCCCTAGTTACTTCTAGCTTAACTAATAAATATATCCTAGATTCCCAAGAAATCGAAATTATTTGGACCGTCCTCCCAGCAATTATCCTTATTTTAATTGCCCTCCCTTCTCTCCGCATTCTTTACCTTATGGATGAGATTAATGATCCTCACCTAACCATTAAAGCCATGGGCCATCAATGATATTGAAGCTACGAATACACTGACTACGACGCTCTTGAGTTCGACTCTTACATAATCCCGACACAAGACCTGACCCCCGGACAATTCCGTCTCCTAGAAGCAGACCACCGAATAATTGCCCCCGTTGAGTCCCCCGTCCGAGTTCTTGTCTCCGGTGAGGACGTCTTACACTCCTGGGCCGTCCCCTCCTTAGGCGTAAAAATAGACGCAGTGCCCGGACGACTAAACCAGACAGCCTTCATTGCATCTCGCCCTGGCGTATTCTACGGACAGTGTTCAGAGATCTGTGGCGCAAACCACAGCTTCATGCCTGTAGTAGTTGAAGCAGTTCCTCTACAAGACTTTGAAGCCTGATCCACCCTTATAATCCAAGATGCCTCGCTAAGAAGCTAAACAGGGTCTAGCGTTAGCCTTTTAAGCTAGAGACTGGTGACTCCCATCCACCCTTGGCGGAATGCCCGTCAACTACCACACCAGCTGCTTCACAATATTAGCCCTTAGTCTTTTCCTATACTTTACCATAGGACATGCTAAAATTGTTGGACACGCAACCACCCTCAAGCCTTCTCCATGGCCTGCAAAATTTCTCACCGAACAAAAGTGGTCCTGACCTTGATCCTAGGCCTTTTCGACCAGTTTTTCTCGCCATACTTCCTCGGTGTTCCCCTTTTAGCAATTGCTATCGCCGCCCCTTGAGTATTGTTCCCAAAACCCTCTAATCGTGTAATCAACGGTCGATCCCTTGTAGCCCAAAATTCATTTGTTTTGAACTTTGCAAAGCAAATTCTTCTTCCCCTAAACGTGGGGGCCCATAAGTGAGCACTACTACTTACCGTACTAATAGTTAATCTTATTACCCTAAATCTACTTGGCCTTCTCCCTTATACCTTCACTCCAACCACCCAGCTGCCTCTTAATATGGGGTTCGCTATCCCTTTATGACTAGCCACAGTTGTAATTGGCCTCCGAAATCAACCAACCATCGCACTGGGCCACCTCCTGCCAGAAGGCACCCCCGCCCCTTTAATCCCCGTCCTAATTATCATTGAAACAATTAGCCTATTTGTTCGACCCTTCGCACTAGGCGTGCGACTAACAGCAAACCTGGCAGCCGGCCATCTCCTGATTCAACTGCTATCCTCCGCCACTCTTTTCCTTATCGACCAGATGTGGCCCGTAGCAATCCTAACCGGCCTAGTTATAGCACTATTAACCCTTCTTGAATTAGCCGTAGCGGCCATTCAAGCCTACGTATTTGTGCTTCTTCTCTCACTCTACCTGCAAGAAAATACCTAGAAATTACGCCTAGAGCACCCAACAAACAAATAATGGCCCACCAAGCACACGCATACCACATAGTTGACCCCAGCCCTTGACCCTTAACAGGCGCAATTGCCGCCCTACTAATAACATCAGGCCTTGCAGTCTGATTTCACCAACACTCCACCACCCTTATAACCCTTGGCACCATCCTTCTGCTTCTTACAATATACCAATGATGGCGAGACATTGTCCGAGAGGGCACCTTTCAAGGACACCACACACCCCCCGTACAAAAGGGCTTGCGATATGGTATAATCTTATTCATCACCTCTGAGGTCTTCTTTTTCTTAGGATTTTTTTGAGCTTTTTATCATGCCAGTCTCGCCCCCACCCCCGAACTAGGGGGCTGCTGACCCCCAACAGGTATTTTTACCCTCGACCCACTAGAAGTCCCTCTACTCAATACAGCAGTTTTGCTTGCCTCTGGGGTGACCGTTACCTGGGCACATCATAGCATTATAGAGGGCGATCGCAAACAAGCCATTCACTCTTTAACCATAACAATTATTCTTGGCTTCTATTTTACAATCCTGCAAGCGCTAGAGTATGTTGATGCCCCCTTTACAATTGGTGATGGAGTTTATGGTGCTACCTTCTTTGTAGCGACCGGCTTCCATGGCCTCCATGTCATTATTGGGTCAACCTTCTTGGCAGTTTGCCTTCTCCGACAAATTAAACATCACTTTACATCTGGGCATCACTTCGGATTTGAAGCAGCCGCCTGATACTGACACTTCGTGGACGTTGTTTGGTTATTCCTCTACGTCTCTATCTACTGATGAGGCTCGTAATCTTTCTAGTACTAACTAGTATAAGTGACTTCCAATCACCCGGTCTTGGTTAAAGTCCAAGGAAAGATAATGAATTTAGTCATAACCATCATTGCAATTGCTAGCCTCCTCTCCACTATCCTTGCTATCGTGTCCTTCTGTCTCCCTCAAATATCCCCAGACTATGAAAAGCTCTCTCCTTACGAATGTGGCTTCGACCCCTTAGGGTCTGCCCGGCTCCCCTTCTCCCTTCGATTTTTCCTCATTGCTATTCTTTTCCTCCTATTTGACCTAGAAATCGCACTCCTTCTCCCCCTACCCTGAGGGGACCAACTAGCCTCCCCCCTTGTATCTTTTTCGTGGGCCACTGCACTTTTAACCCTCCTGACTCTTGGCCTAATTTATGAGTGAGCACAAGACGGCCTAGAGTGAGCTGAATAGGCAATTAGTTTAATAAAAACATTTGGTTTCGGCCCAAAAGCTTGTGGTTTAAGTCCATAATTACCTAATGACATCCATCCAATTTACCTTCTCTTCAGCATTCATTCTAGGGCTGACAGGCCTCGCGTTCAATCGAACACATCTCCTATCAGCGCTTTTATGTCTTGAAGGCATAATACTCTCTCTATACATTGCTCTCTCCATCTGAACCTTGGAGACGGGCTCCACCAGCTCTTCTGCTTTACCTCTATTTCTTCTGGCTATCTCAGCTTGTGAAGCAAGCGCAGGTCTTGCTCTTCTAGTAGCCACAGCCCGAACCCACGGCACCGACCGCCTGCAAAGCCTAAATCTCTTACAATGCTAAAGATCCTTATCCCAACCCTTATACTAATCCCCACAATCTGGCTCGTCCCTGCCAAGTGATTATGACCCTCAACTCTTGTGCACAGTCTAGTAATTGCAGTAGCTAGCTTCACCTGATTTAAGAACACCTCAGAAACAGGCTGAACAACCTTAAATTCCTATATAGCTACTGACCTTTTATCAACCCCCTTGCTGGTACTTACTTGCTGGCTTTTACCTCTAATAATCCTTGCAAGCCAACACCACATGGGAAATGAACCCAAAAATCGTCAACGAACCTATATTACTCTTCTAACCTCCCTACAATTTTTTCTTATCTTAGCCTTTAGCGCTACCGAACTCATTATATTTTACCTAATATTTGAAGCTACTTTACTCCCCACGCTAATAATTATTACCCGCTGAGGAAACCAAGCAGAACGCTTAAATGCAGGTATATACTTCTTATTTTACACGTTAGCAAGCTCCCTTCCGCTTCTTGTTGCACTCCTAATTCTCCAAAACACTAGCGGAACACTCTCCCTTTTAACCTTACAATATATGGGGCCCCTAAGTTTAACGACACACGCAGATAAACTATGATGGGCCGGCTGCCTCCTAGCATTTTTAGTGAAGATACCCCTTTATGGAGTTCACCTCTGACTTCCTAAAGCCCATGTTGAAGCCCCCGTCGCAGGTTCAATAATTCTTGCTGCAGTGCTTCTAAAGCTAGGCGGTTACGGCATAATGCGAATAATACTAGTTCTCGAGCCCCTCACAAAGGAAATAAGTTATCCCTTTATAGTGTTTGCACTTTGAGGCATTATAATAGCAGGCTCAATTTGTCTTCGCCAAACAGACCTAAAATCACTAATCGCTTACTCGTCAGTTAGCCATATAGGCCTTGTAGTAGCCGGCATTCTCGTCCAAACCCCATGAGGATTTTCTGGTGCATTAATTCTTATGATCGCCCACGGCCTAACATCTTCCGCCCTTTTCTGCTTAGCAAACACTAACTATGAACGAATCCACAGCCGAAGCATTCTTTTAGCTCGTGGTCTACAAATGGTTCTGCCTTTAATAGCTACGTGGTGATTTTTTGCTAGCCTAGCTAACTTAGCCCTCCCTCCCCTTCCCAATCTTATGGGAGAACTGATAATCATCACCTCCCTGATTAATTGATCTCCTTGAACCTTAGCTCTTACCGGAAGTGGCGTCCTTATTACCGCTAGCTATTCAATGTATATATTTATTACAACCCAACGAGGGCCTCTGCCTAGTCATTTAATTGCTCTAGATCCCTCCCATACCCGAGAACATCTAATCATGGCCCTACACCTTCTCCCCCTTATTCTCCTCATCCTTAAGCCCCATTTAATCTGAGGGTGAGCTAGCTGTAGATATCGTATAAAAAAGACATTAGATTGTGATTCTAAAAATAAGGGTTAAAACCCCTTTATCCACCGAGAGGGGCTGGCAGCAACGAGGACTGCTAATCTCCGTCTCCTTGGTTGAACTCCAGGGCTCACTCGAACCGCTTCTGAAGGATAACAGCTCATCCGTTGGTCTTAGGAACCAAAAACTCTTGGTGCAAATCCAAGTAGAAGCTATGTTTTTCCCAGCATCCGTATTGACATCAAGCCTCATAATTACCCTATTTCTCCTAGGGTCCCCATTGTTGCTTAGTTTATTCTCTGCTCCAGCAAAGCCGAGTTGAGCGACAACACATGTCAAACCTGCTGTGAAAGGCGCATTCTTTGTTAGCCTTATCCCCCTTATTCTTTTCATTAATTTCGGTAAACAACAAGTGATTTCTACATGGACTTGAACAAGCACTTTAACATTTGATATGAGCGTTAGCTTTAAATTCGACCATTATTCCCTTATCTTCACACCTGTAGCTTTATATGTAACCTGGTCGATCCTAGAATTTGCAACCTGATATATGCAAGACGACCCCGACATGAACCGATTCTTTAAGTACCTGTTGATTTTCCTCATCGCAATAATTGTGTTAGTCACCGCCAATAACCTTTTTCAACTTTTTATCGGCTGGGAAGGCGTCGGCATCATGTCGTTCCTCCTTATCGGCTGGTGGTCCGGCCGGGCTGACGCCAACACAGCTGCCCTTCAGGCAGTTGTCTACAACCGAGTCGGAGATATTGGGTTAATTTTTGCCATGGCCTGAATAGCCACAAATATAAACTCATGAGAGCTGCAACAGATTTTCATCGCACTTAAAGGCTTCAACGTAACTCCTCCTGTCTTAGGACTAATTATTGCCGCCGCTGGTAAATCCGCTCAATTTGGACTCCATCCTTGACTTCCTTCTGCCATAGAGGGCCCTACACCAGTATCCGCTCTCCTTCATTCGAGCACCATAGTAGTCGCGGGCATTTTTCTTCTTATTCGAATGAATCCTATGATCGAAAAAAGCCCCGCCGCTCTAACCCTTTGCCTCTGTTTAGGTGGACTAACGTCCATGTTTACTGCCTTCTGCGCTCTAACCCATAACGACCTCAAGAAAGTTATTGCATTCTCTACAGCTAGTCAACTTGGCCTTATGATGGTAACCATTGGCCTAAACCAACCACAACTCGCCTTCCTTCATATTTGTATACATGCATTTTTTAAAGCTATGTTATTCCTCTGCTCCGGATCAATTATTCACAGCCTTGGTGGTGAACAAGATATCCGGAAAATGGGGGCCCTCCACCGCCAAACACCCTGAACCTCTTCCTGCTTTATTATTGGCACTCTCGCCCTAACCGGTATGCCTTTCCTCTCCGGCTTCTTCTCTAAAGATGCTATTATTGAAGCAATAACCACTTCCTATTTAAACACTTGAGCCCTCCTACTCACCCTTTTTGCCACAGCTTTTACGGCCATTTACAGCGTTCGCCTAATTTACTTTGTACTAATACCTAACCCCCGCTCAATAACTATCACCCCTATCGGAGAAGCAAACCCCCAAGTACTCAACCCCCTTAAACGACTTGTATGAGGAAGTATCTTTGCAGGCTTATGACTCACCTTAAGCATTAATCCCCTTAAAATTCCTGTAATGTCAATGCCTCCCACAATTAAACTGACTGCCCTTCTTGTCACAATTTCCGGACTCCTAATCGCACTCTGATTTATTACCCCTTCCGGTGCACGTATCCAAACCACCCTTTTCCCCACTCCCCATCACTTCAGTAGTATACTTGGGTATTACCCTACCCTCGTTCACCGAATAACTCCTAAATTGTCCTTAATGTGAGGCCAAACGATCGCCGACCAGACAATTGACCAGAACTGACTAGAGGAAATTGGACCAAAAGCCACTGCAACCCTCAGCAAACCCCTAATTATCTTCACGAGTGAAATACAACAAGGTCGCATGAAAACACACCTCCTCTTCTTTTTCTTGGGCCTTACCCTAATAACTTCAATAATTATTTATTAGCGACCCCATGCCAGGTAGGGCTAGCCCTACCTAAAGTACTTGGTGCCGGGCTCTGCCTCACCAAAAATTAAGTGCCGGGCTCTGCCTCACCAAAATTAAGTGCCGGGCTCTGCCTCACCAAAATTAAGTGCCGGGCTCTGCCTCACCAAAATTAAGTGCCGGGCTCTGCCTCACCAAAATTAAGTGCCGGGCTCTGCCTCACCAAAATTAAGTGCCGGGCTCTGCCTCACCACATATTATGATTATTAGCGCCTGCCCACAATTCGCACCCCGCCTGATCGTCTCTAACTTAATGGCAAGCCTTCGAAAAACGCACCCCCTCCTAAAAATCGCAAACGACGCCCTCGTTGATCTCCCCGCCCCGTCAAACATCTCAGTGTGGTGAAACTTTGGATCTCTTCTCGGACTCTGTCTGATCGCCCAAATCCTAACAGGCCTTTTTTTAGCCATACATTACACCGCCGACATCAACACCGCCTTCTCCTCCGTCGCTCATATTACCCGAGACGTTAATTACGGGTGACTAATCCGGGACATACATGCCAACGGCGCATCTTTCTTTTTCATCTGTATCTATATGCACATCGGCCGAGGCCTTTATTACGGCTCTTACCTATATAAAGAGACATGAAACGTTGGGGTGGTCCTCTTACTTCTTGTAATAATGACTGCTTTCGTAGGATACGTCCTGCCCTGAGGACAGATGTCATTTTGAGGCGCAACTGTAATTACCAACCTTCTTTCGGCAGTACCCTACGTCGGCAATGCTCTTGTACAGTGAATTTGAGGAGGATTCTCAGTAGATAATGCCACCCTCACCCGTTTCTTTGCCTTCCATTTCCTCTTCCCGTTTGTGATTGCAGGGGCTACCATAGTACACCTACTGTTCCTTCATCAAACCGGCTCAAATAACCCCCTTGGCCTCAACTCAACTAGTGACAAGATCCCTTTTCACCCCTACTTTTCTTACAAAGACCTTTTGGGGTTTGCAGCCCTCCTGGTCGCACTAGCTACAGTTGCACTTTTTACCCCCAATCTCCTGGGAGATCCAGACAATTTTACCCCCGCTAATCCCCTTGTAACTCCCCCTCACATCAAGCCTGAGTGATACTTCTTGTTTGCTTATGCAATCTTACGCTCTATTCCCGACAAACTTGGAGGCGTTCTAGCCCTCCTTGCCTCTATTCTGGTCCTCCTCGTCGTCCCCTTTCTCCACACGTGCAAATTGCGTAGTCTAACTTTTCGTCCCCTCTCACAACTCCTCTTCTGGAGCCTCATCGCAGACGTCGCAATTCTCACCTGAATTGGGGGCATGCCCGTCGAAGACCCTTACATCATTATTGGCCAAGTCGCATCCGTCTTATACTTCTCTATCTTCCTCATCTTCTTCCCCCTCGCAGGCTGATTAGAAAACAAAATCCTCGGCTTAGCATGCACTAGTAGCTCAACGCCAGAGCGTCGGTCTTGTAAACCGGAGGTCGGAGGTTAAACCCCTCCCTATCGCCCAAAAAAGAGCTCTGTGCCGCCCCATAAATGTACTTAGAGTATATCTATGTATTATCAACATACATTTATATTAACCATTTAATGAGCATTCGTGGGCAATATTTAATTAATTTACAAAACTTGCTTCACCACCAGGCAGATATCACTACTAACAGTAGGTATACATTAAGCATTTGATAAGTCTCCCATAGTCCTATTCCAGGGCAGGCGAAACTTAAGACCGAGCGCCAGATTCATAAGTTAAGTTATACCTTTATCCACCATCTCGTCAACTCTCAGATTCTTAATGTAGTAAGAACCGACCAACAAGCACATATCTTAAGGCTAACGGCTAATGAGGGTGAGGTGCAACCATTGTAGGGTTTCACACAGTGAACTATTCCTGGCATTTGGCTCCTATTTCAGGGCCAATGATTGGTAACACCCACCGCACTTTTATCGACGCTTACATATATGAATGTTTTTATTACATACTCCTCGTTACCCAGCAAGCCGGGCGTTCACTCCAGCGAGCCAGGGGTTCTCTTTTTTTCTTTTCCTTTCCTCTGGCATTTCAGAGTGCACACGGGTTTAACAGACAAGCGTGAGCATTTTTCTTGCTTGGGTAATAAGTTGAGTTATGTTAAGACCTCCTGATCTTTTTTTTGTTTTTTTTTTTCCCGGGCATAGGGTAGGTAAATCTTTCCTAAATTTTATGCGAGAAATTATGATCGTTTTATCGAAGATCCCCCTACCCCCTTACTTCCGTAACATGTCTAAGACCTAATACAAACCTAAACTTTAGTGAGCCCTAACGGGCTCGGCCCCATATGTTTCTGTACAAAATTCGGGTTGAATAGCAAATATTCTGCACCTTCCCACTAACCCCCCCCCCAGGCGCCTGAGCCCCCATCCTCACCCCCCCCCATCCTCACCCCCCCCCCTACTTGATTGGCCGCACTGGCCCCCGGCTGCAACCCCGTGACACCTCCAAAGCAACATAAAGAGCTACCAGAAGAGCCCACCCGCAAGTAAGCAACAAGATGCCACCACTCCCATATGCCTCTGACACCCCCTCAGTCTCCCCCTGCATCACACTTATCTCTGACTCCTGGCCCACAAATCACCAAAAAAGGGGGGCCTCTGAGCTTTGCTGGAACAAGGCCACTACCCCTGTAAGCCCAAGATAACCCACTATAGACTTAAGCACCGACCCCTCAGCCAGACCTGTTGGAAGCGCATCCGAACACAGTGCTACCGAGTAAGCAAACACCACCAACATTCCCCCTAGATAGATTAGGAATAAAACTAGGCATGAAAAAGTGCCCCCCAAGCACATAATGAATCCGCACCCCATTGCTGCAACCATAACGAGCCCAAGAGCCGCATAAAAAGGTGAAGGGTTGGCGGCAACTGCCGCCATCCCCACCACCACACCAAACATAAGTAAGTACCCACAATATAACATGATTCTCACCAGGACTCTAACCAGGACTAAGGACATGAAAAGCCATCGTTGTTATTCAACTACAAGAACCTCAGTAGAAACACCCCCCCCGTACGCACTAATAGCCCAACACCAGGCTTGTAAGCCGCCTTATCGCTCAAAGAGAGGAGATTTTAACTCCCACCCCTAACTCCCAAAGCTAGAGTTCTAAACTAAACTACTCTGTGCCGCCCCATAAATGTACTTAGAGTATATCTATGTATTATCAACATACATTTATATTAACCATTTAATGAGCATTCGTGGGCAATATTTAATTAATTTACAAAACTTGCTTCACCACCAGGCAGATATCACTACTAACAGTAGGTATACATTAAGCATTTGATAAGTCTCCCATAGTCCTATTCCAGGGCAGGCGAAACTTAAGACCGAGCGCCAGATTCATAAGTTAAGTTATACCTTTATCCACCATCTCGTCAACTCTCAGATTCTTAATGTAGTAAGAGCCGACCAACAAGCACATATCTTAAGGCTAACGGCTAATGAGGGTGAGGTGCAACCATTGTAGGGTTTCACACAGTGAACTATTCCTGGCATTTGGCTCCTATTTCAGGGCCAATGATTGGTAACACCCACCGCACTTTTATCGACGCTTACATATATGAATGTTTTTATTACATACTCCTCGTTACCCAGCAAGCCGGGCGTTCACTCCAGCGAGCCAGGGGTTCTCCTTTTTTTTTTTCCTTTCACTTGGCATTTCAAAGTGCACACGGGTTTAACAGACAAGCGTGTACATTTTTCTTGCTTGGAAGAATAGTCTGAACAATATAAAGACTTCTACTTTTATATTTCATTTTTTTTTTTCTAGGGCATAGGGTAGGTAAATCTTTCCTAAATTTTATGCGAGAAATTATGATCGTTTTTATCGAAGATCCCCCTACCCCCTTACTCTCGTTACTTATCTAACAACCGCACTTAGTTTCAATAGTTAAGGACGTCGAGAAGTCCCCGTAAAATATACATACATACTTTTAAGTAAATACTGATATTTACAAGTATTTTGTATTTTTATTTAGGCCGACCTAACACTAATTATAGGGCTCCGGGCCGCAGTCTGCTCTTGTTACCATTCAACAAGTATTTTACCCTCTTACAACTATTACCCCCTTCTACTCCTGACTTTGAAGCACCTTCATAGCAACAACTACCTTAAATGTATATATATATTGATTAAAATACACCCCCTAGTGCTTTCCTTTTTCTTACGCAAACCTGGGCAATATCAGTTACTTATAATTAACCCCCTAATTGTCTGCGCCTGAACACACTTAATACTTCTTGCCCCCACATTATATTTTCCCCTAACACCTCCGTACTATTTGAGCCCGCCCCTTGTTCAAAAACCCTCCACAATTTATGCATATATATATATGCATACAAATAAATACCCGCATGAGCACATATAATCATGTGTGTATATACCTATACAAATGTATATATATGTGTACATTCATATACACACACATTTTCGGGCTCCACACAGTTACTCCCCCTTCCCCCCCCCTCTGCCCACTTACGGGCCGAGAGTCAGAAGTCATCTCGCTAGCGTGGTTTATTTAAAACGTAACACTGAAAATGTTGAAATGGGCCCTAGAAAGCTCCGCAAGCACAAAGGCTTGGTCCTGACTTTATCATCAGCTTCAGCCGAACTTACACATGCAAGTATCCGCACCCCTGTGAGAATGCCCTCAGTTCCCTGCCTGGGAACAAGGAGCTGGTATCAGGCACAATTTTAGCCCATGACACCTTGTTTAGCCACACCCTTAAGGGAACTCAGCAGTGATAGATATTAAGCCATAAGTGAAAACTTGACTTAGTAAAAGCTAAGAGGGCCGGTAAAACTCGTGCCAGCCACCGCGGTTATACGAGAGGCCCAAGTTGATTATTCACGGCGTAAAGAGTGGTTAGGGAACAAATAGTACTAAAGCCGAATGTTTTCAAAGCTGTTATACGCATCCGAAAACAAGAAGTTCAATCACGAAAGTAGCTTTACTAAACCCTGAACCCACGAAAGCTAGGGAACAAACTGGGATTAGAGACCCCACTATGCCTAGCCGTAAACATTGATAGACCAATACAACCCCTATCCGCCCGGGAACTACGAGCACCAGCTTAAAACCCAAAGGACTTGGCGGTGCTTTAGATCCTACTAGAGGAGCCTGTTCTAGAACCGATAACCCCCGTTCAACCTCACCTTTCCTTGTTTTTCCCGCCTATATACCGCCGTCGTCAGCCCACCCTATGAAGGTTTAAAAGTAGGCTAAATTGGCATAGCCCAGCACGTCAGGCCGAGGTGTAGCGTATGGAAAGGGAAGAAATGGGCTACATTCCCTAATTTAGGGCACACGAATGATATGCTGAAACGCACATCTTGAAGGAGGATTTAGCAGTAAGTAGGAAGTAGAGCGTCCTGCTGAAATTGGCTCTGAAGCGCGCACATACCGCCCGTCACTCTCCCCGAAAAATTTCACCCTAATTATATAAAACCTTAGAGCAAAAGAGGGGAGGCAAGTCGTAACATGGTAAGTGTACCGGAAGGTGCACTTGGATCAATAATCAGGGTATAGCTAAGCTAGTAAAGCCTCTCCCTTACTCCGAGAAGTCCTCCGTGCAAATCGGATTGCCCTGATACCGAACAGCTAGCCCCCCAAGACAACTTCAACATACCACCATTAATACCCCCAGATGCACAACTCAAGATTAAACAAATCATTTTACCCCCTTAGTATGGGCGACAGAAAAGGGACTTAGGAGCAATAGAGAAAGTACCGCAAGGGAACGCTGAAAGAGAAATGAAATAACCCAGTAAAGCACCAAAAAGCAGAGTTAAACCCTCGTACCTTTTGCATCATGATTTAGCCAGTGATTTTCAAGCAAAAAGATTTTTAGTTTGTTAACCCGAAACTAAGGGAGCTACTCCAAGACAGCCTGTTAATAGGGCGCACCCGTCTCTGTTGCAAAAGAGTGGGACGAGCTTTGAGTAGAGGTGACAAGCCTACCGAACTTAGTTATAGCTGGTTGCCCAAGAAATGAATAGTAGTTCAGCCTCCCGGCTTCTCCGTTCACCTCAGTGTACACACATTCCTGATGTTTCAAGAAACCGTGAGAGTTATTCAAAGGGGGTACAGCCCCTTTGAAACAAGACACAACTTTTCCAGGAGGGTAAAGATCATAATTACACAAGGTAAGTAACTCTCGTGGGCCCGAAAGCAGCCACCCCCTAAAGAAAGCGTCTAAGCTCGAAACAATCTTGCCCCTCCCCCAATCCTGATCATTTAATCTTATCCCCCTAAACTTATTGAGCCGTCCCATGCCAACATGGGAGTGACCATGCTAATATAAGTAATAAGAAAGCCCTGACTTTCTCCCCGCACGCGTGTAAATCGGAATGGACCCCCCACCGAATATTAACGGCCCCAAATACAGAGGGCAATGGATTATAAACCAAACAACAAGAAAATCCTCCAACCACCAACCGTTACCCCAACACAGGTGTGCCTCTAGGGAAAAACTAAAAGGGGGAGAAGGAACTCGGCAAACACATAAAGCCTCGCCTGTTTACCAAAAACATCGCCTCTTGCAAATAATGAATAAGAGGTCCCGCCTGCCCTGTGACTATTAGTTTAACGGCCGCGGTATTTTGACCGCGCGAAGGTAGCGCAATCACTTGTCTCTTAAATGGAGACCTGTATGAATGGCACGACGAGGGCTTAGCTGTCTCCTCCCCTAAGTTAATGAAATTGATCTTTCCGTGCAGAAGCGGGAATAAACACATAAGACGAGAAGACCCTATGAAGCTTTAGACGTAAGGTAGACCAGACTACAAAGACCCCCTAATAAGGGCACAAACCAAAAGGACCCCTACCCCGATGTCTTTGGTTGGGGCGACCGCGGGGAAAGAAAAAACCCCCACGTAGAACAGGAGTACAACTCCTTAAACTCAGAGCCACAGCTCTAAGAAACAAAATTTTTGACCTAAAGATCCGGCAATGCCGATCAACGGACCGAGTTACTCTAGGGATAACAGCGCAATCCCCTTTTAGAGACCATATCAACAAGGGGGTTTACGACCTCGATGTTGGATCAGGACATCCTATTGGTGCAGCAGCTATTAAGGGTTCGTTTGTTCAACGATTAAAGTCCTACGTGATCTGAGTTCAGACCGGAGTAATCCAGGTCAGTTTCTATCTATGACATATTCTTTTCTAGTACGAAAGGACCGAAAAAAAGGGGTCACTACACTATGTACACCCTACCCCTACCTAATGAAAACAACTAAAATAGACAAGGGGGTATGTTTTCCCCGCCAGAGAAAATGGCACGTTGGGGTGGCAGAGCCCGGTAAATGCAAAAGACCTAAGCCCTTTCCACAGGGGTTCAAGTCCCCTCCCTAACT